AATCGGCTTGTACTGACCAGCTGTAAGAACTTGGATGCATCTTCCAACGGTGAAGCACTCCTTTCACTTACAAGATATCTGCCATTTCAATAAAATATCAATCAAGCCTACCACTAATACAATTTGGCCAAAATGAGATCGACCTCTCACCCGCGAATGCGATTTCTCAACTCATCATCTGAAATCTTAGTTCTTGCGTAGCCGAAAACGTGCACCTCGTCCGGCGGTAGAAATCCTTGCACACACACACCATTACCATCTAAGGTTAGCTCCCCTGGCGCACCGTGTTTAGCCATTGGCAAAGCCGAATTGATCAATGAATCGAGAAACTTAGCCTGGCAATAGATGAAAGAGAGCAGGGAATGTCTTCTTCTTGGCAAGATCACCGGAGGCACCGAGAACGATGATCGAAAGGCACCCGATTTCAGGCACATTCTCATTGCCCGAAAACGAATCGTTCCTGAAACTCTCTCTTTTTTGAAGGCATCGTTCACCTGATCCCATCTCCTAAGGCTTCGCTTTTTAAGAACCGAAACAGAGCTTGACAAAGACATGAAATCAAAGGTTTCTTTAGCTTTCCTCGGATCGATCAAACCACATGCAAAACAAACATAACAAACAAGCAAACAAACAAACAAAAAATGCATACTTTCCCATTGCATGGATCCAGTCATCCAGATACAGAAACGAACTTGAAATGAAAAACAAAAAAGCAACAACCCAGAATTCGAGTCGATGGAAACATATTTTGGGATGCAAGGATCAAGAACTGGAGTGAAAACAAACCTTTGACGGTGGGATTGTGACTTGTGAGAAGAATGATGCCCGGGGAAGAGAGAGAGAGAGAGGGAGATATAGAGAGAGAAAAGAGGGTTTGGTATGAGTTTGGTGTTGAGTTAAGGTTTGAAAAGTGGGTGTCAGTTTTTTCTCCGGTTATGAAAGAGTATTTGTATCGCTCGTGTTGCTCAACAACTCTTCTTGTCTCCATGTCGGGGATCGTTTCTTACCAGCCGCCGTAGTCGTACAATATTTTTCAGTCCTTTCACCTTACTTCTCCGTTTCTCTGTTAATGCCCTGCCAACTCTGATTGCTTTCTTTTTAGCCACGAATTTTCTATTTCCAATTCATCAAAAACAAGATTATTTAGTGAAGTAATGTAAAAACAAAAAACAAAAAACAAAAAATTTAGGGAAATAGGAATGGAGAAAATATTTAGAAAATTAAGGTGAAATTTATAGTGTTTGATAAAATTATTTAGAGAAAATTATTTCAAATTCCACTTAAACTTGTTTGCATACTCGTTTATATCACTACACTTTCAATTTTTTCAATTACAACATTGAACTTTATTTTTACATTCAATTATTTCACTCCATCGTTAGTCGATATTAGGACAATAACATGGCTAACGGTTGTTGACGTGGTCCGACACATCAAAACAACGTCGTTTTAGTGTCATTGTTCTAATGCCTAAAATGACGTTGTTTTGGACATTGAAATTTAGGGGTGTATTGATTTTGTCATCGAACTTTTAAACAATTTTCTTTTTTAACACTGCACTTTCTGATCATCGTCAACAACCAAGCATTGTCTGTATTGGTTATATTTCTTGACAGGATTGGTACCAAAATGTTCATATTTCACTCATCTTTCTTCTCTTGGGATTGATTTTTCATGAAACCCACTCAAAATCGATGAAATAAAGTTTAACGCATTAATAGATCTCCTTCTATGATTGTTCGATGAAACTAGTTTTGAGGTATGTTGTTCGTCTTTTCAAAATAATATTTTTCATCGTTCATATTTTTGAACAAACATCTCAAATCTCATAAATCTAAGAAAGTCTCTAAACATATAAAAATGATAGATTTTTTTGCTTACTTTCGTCGATTTTGAGTGAGTTTCGTGGAAAATAATAAAATGAGAAGGATGAGGAGTGAAAAACGAATATTTTGGTGTCAATTTTCCCACAAAAGACTAACAATGATTGGTCGTCGATGGCGATAAAAAATTGCAATGCCAAAAAAGTTAAAAGTTTAGTAGCAAAATCGACTCGCCTCTAATGTTTAGTGTTTAAAACGATGTCATTTTAGTTTGATATGTCATGTCAGCAATCATTGGACATGTCATCACCCAATTATTGATTTAACGACAAAGTACCATAATTAGATATAGAACTAAAATCCAGTGTTATAATTGACAAAATTAAAAAAAATAATAATATAAATGAGTCATCTTACAAGTGATATCTGAAGTAGCTTTCGTTATATTTTAATATAGATATATTAATGAGAATTAAAAAAAGAACAAAAAACTTTTCAAAATTTTGAGGGGGACAAATAAAACATGAAAATTTCAGTTATCTATTAATAAATTTTCAAAATCTTGAGGGGCATGGCCCCTCTAGTCTCTCTTACATGCCGTCATTGTGGATACTTTTTTATTAATTAATTCAATCCAGTTTAAATTATTATTAATAAATTATTTAATGAAATATTTAGTTATTTATATTTTTGTTAAGACTTTTAACATGACGTTATTTTACACAATAATAATTATTTTATGAAAGACATACTATAAAACAAATATTAATCAAAATATTTAAAATTTCTTATAATACATGTTCAACTCACGTTAATTTTATCAACCGAGTTAAGAGTCACTTGATTCATATTTTTCTCCTGATTTCTTAGCATCTAATTATATTTTTAAAGGGTGTGAATGAGAATAACTTTTTTCAAACTGAGTTGAAACGAATAATTGAAAAATAAAAAGGAGTGTTTTGTAAATACGATAAAATATAGGGTGACGACGAATCATAAAGAAGGAGATTATCCCACGCGGCCCAATCTATAGAGAAAATGAAATCAGATTCAGATGTTTCGAATCCGAAATTACATATAAATGAAATCCAACGGATCATATTTGCTTTGCACGCAGATAATAAAATACATCAACGGTCTTGATACGATGTTCAGTGTGTCGAATCTCAATAGTTTGATTTTAGAATCAAGAAAACAAAGAATAAAACTATTACATCAAATTTTAATTCAAATCTATTTTTGTTATGAGAAATCAATAATCAATAATATTTGTTTTGATTAGTTGTGTGCTTCAGAGCATACTTGAACGAGAACAGGTGGAAACTGAAAGTATATGCTCTAGGTCTAGAAGATGTCTATTTACTATTCGAAATATTATTTATTTTGGGGGTAGTGATCATCTTTCATGGTGCCATTTCCATCATATGAAGCACCGAATAAACAGTTTTGCAATGCGAGAGTTTGGCAGATGGTTAGTTCATCGAGCTTTGTGACGGGCAAGACAAAAAAAGAAAAGAAAATGATAAACTGTCCTAAAAGAACAATGCAAAGTGGAGTTATTCATGTTGGATTCAATGAGATTTCCAGTGAATTTTACTTGATGAAAATTATGAAGCTCATTTGCTGATTTCGGACTGGCTATGTTCTTTCAAGATGTCGGTGTCTCGTAGTGCATGTTCCCCAGTACTGGTTCCTACGGTTACATTGCTCTGGGTTTCAATCCACCCATTTTTGTTTCACTTAACATAAGTAATCTTCTGAATACTTCTGTTTCGGTCCTTTAACTTGATATGAAATATGCAAACAGATTATCCCTACACGTCGAAGGTAGACGAGAAAAGCGACGTGTACAGTTTTGGTGTTGTGTTGTTGGAACTTATAGCAGGAAGAAAATCTGTTTGACGAGTACAATTTTGGCGTTGTGCTATTAAAAATTATTTTTTTAAATTTTTTAATTTATTTTAGATAGCCTTGACTCCCACATTATTTAGTGTGATGCTTCTAGATGTCATTACTTTTTTTTATTATTATTAATAATATGAGGTTCGCGTTTCATATTCTTAAAAAAATATCATATTGTTAAAAAAAAAAATATTAATTTTTAATTATAATCATGTTATTTTATTTAACAATTATGACAGTCAAACCCCCTAATTAATAATTGTTAAGGTCACTCAATTTTAATTAAATTATCATCAGTAATACATTTAATGATTCTCTTTGTAACAATTGATTAATTAAATGATTTATTTGTAATAATTTGAAATTTTAGACGCCTTTATAATCTTACTACTAATTGAGTGATTAATGACATAATTTACCCTTTTAATTGATTATATATGTTTGTAAACTTTGATTTATAGAAAGAATAATGCGGTGTTTACCGATGCACATAAAAAGGGAAACTTTCTACTTAAGAACCAATGTAGTTGATGATGCACGCGCCAAAAAAGCACGTCAGGTCGTCTGCCCGACCACAACGGGAAACTGTGGTAAAGTCCTAAGAAAAGGGACGGGGAAAAAAATATGATCCGATCGATTATTTTAATTTAAAATTTTGATATATTTTTAAATTTTTAGATAATTTAAATCAGATATTTAGATAAATAATTAATAATCGAGTCAAATACGAATCAATTAAAATTTATTTTCAGATTATTTAAAAATCCAAAATAATATTAAACCATAAGAAAAAAAAATCAGGCCCAAAGATCTGAAGCAGCAGCCCGCCCGTAACCTGAATGCTGATATAACTAGTCCAGCCTTGCTCTGCCTTATCTTGCAGCCTTGATTTGTTTTTAATTTTAATTTTTCCTAACAATTTTGGTTTTGCTTATACTTTCTTTGGTGACTGCTAAGTGCTGTGGTTTGATAAATATTTAATAAAAGTATATAATAAAAGTATAAATTCATAAAATATTTATTTTGATTTTTAATTATAATTTATATTCGGATTAAATTTGAATTTATATTAAAAAATACACATCCCTAACCTTTGGATGATAACTGTGGACAAGGATAAATGTATCCGTATTCCGTAGTGTCAAGTGGCGCGTGCAAAGCACAACCTGAATAAAAAAAATGTTTTTTTCCTTTTGGATTTCTCATTTTTAGCACTCTCCCCACTCACTCTGAAACGAAAATAATGGTGGGGTTTTTAACAAAAATCGAGGGGTGATTTAGTCAATTGGTTTCCATCTTCATCTGGAGAAAATCAAGAGTGTGAACTCTGAGATTGAAAAATGAAAATTTCCTGAGAAAGTTTACAAAAGATCAAATCTTTATCAAGAAAAAAGAAGAAGAGAAAGAGTTGTGTTTAATTCGAACATTCATTTGCCTGTAAAGTAAGAAGAAAGATCCTTAATTTCTTAATGTTAGTTAAAGTTTTGTTTTGGATTATGTTCATTTGTATAGTTTTGCAGGTTGCTTTTATTGGAAAATTTGTGGTTTGGATTCAAGATCAAACACAGATCTTGTAACCTTTGGATCTATCTTAATGCTTTTGTTAATCTTTGGAAGCTGAGGAAAAGTTAGAGCCAAAGGGGAAAACAGGTGGATATGGCTTACCCTTTCCTTTTCTAAAACTAATTTAGCCATTTTCAGCTGAATTTTATGGTTTCAATGGTGATAAAATTGGGTATTTTTGGTTTTTCGTTTTAGGCGCATGATTTCTTTGTTTATGTCCCAAACTGATGCATGCGGTATCGTATGTTTGCTAATTAGGCATCTTCTGGACTTGTTTTCTGTGTTTTTAGATGTTTTCGACGTTATAAGTGTGGTTGATGTTGTTGTTGAAAGGGAACAATAAAGTTTCTCTGTTGGAATTGAGTCATATAACTCTTCTGAATGAAGATGGAGTTCTATATTTATGGGTGGATTGACTGGTTTTCTTCTTCGAGTTCGATGATGTTGTGTTTGCTTTGAAGGGTTTTCTATTCTTATCGAGTTTTTAAGTGCATGAGAAGCGATTCTCTTGTGTGAGCTACGATGATCAAACAGATACTTAATAGGCTCCCACGGAAACTATCTAGGTCCAGTGACAATCGTGAGGGAGGAGGAAGCTCTACATCATCATCAAATGCTTCTACCAGTTCAAGAAGCAGTGATCTAGCTAGTAACCATTATGCAAACTCGAGTGGCTTGACCTTTTCTGGCTTTAATTCGACTCCATATTCGGGGTTGAATCAAGGGAACAAGTTTTCTCAAGCGGTGAATGCAAAGCTGAACGGGAACATGGTTGCTTCTTTCGAGGCATTGCCTAGTTTTAGGGATGTTCCGAATTCTGAGAAGCAAAACTTGTTTATCCGAAAGCTGAACTTGTGTTGCATTGTGTTTGACTTCACTGACCTGACAAAAAACCTCAAAGAGAAGGATCTTAAGCGGCAAACGTTGCTAGAGCTCGTGGATTATGTTTCATCCACTAACGGGAAATTCCAGGAGATTGTTATGCAAGAAATTGTGAAGATGGTATCGGCGAATTTATTTAGAGCACTAACATATCCGCCCCGTGAGAACAGGGTTTTAGAAGCGTTTGATTTGGAAGAGGAAGAACCTTCAATGGACCCTGCTTGGCCTCATTTGCAAGTTGTTTATGAATTTCTCTTGAGATTTGTGGCATCACCCGAGACAGATGCAAAATTGGTCAAGCGGTATATCGATCACTCTTTTGTTCTAAGGCTGTTAGATCTCTTCGATTCAGAGGACCCCAGAGAAAGGGAGTATCTGAAAACCGTTTTGCATCGTATCTATGGAAAATTTATGGTCCATCGTCCATTCATCAGGAAGGCAATCAATAACATCTTCTTCCACTTTATTTTTGAAATCGAAAAGCATAATGGAATTGCGGAGCTTCTAGAAATACTGGGAAGTATAATCAATGGGTTTGCTTTGCCATTGAAGGAAGAACATAAGCTCTTTCTCGTGCGTGCATTGATACCGCTTCATAAACCGAAGTGTATACCCATGTACCACCAGCAGTTATCTTACTGCATAACTCAATTCGTGGAGAAAGATTGCAAGCTTGCTGATACTGTTATTCGGGGGCTGTTAAAGTATTGGCCGATCACGAACAGCTCGAAAGAAGTCGTGTTCTTGGGTGAACTGGAGGAAGTTTTGGAGGCCACACAACCTGCTGAGTTTCAACGCAGCATGGTACCCTTGTTCCGTCAGATTGGCCGTTGCTTGAGTAGTTCCCATTTTCAGGTAGGGATTTCGATGTTTCAGTACTTGCAATTGTCGCTTCTTTTAAGTATAATGCCTCTTTAAAATATAATTAGATTAACATCAGTTTCTCCATGGTTTGTTTATAGAACTTGGGGAATATCTCCATCGAGTCTCTTTTTTTCATTCGAGTTAAAGGCTTTATTTTCTGGAGATACCCGGGCTTTGCAGCTAAATTGCAACTTACTCGTTTAGTTATGATGTGAAGCTGCATTGAGTCAGTTATGCTATTAAGAATCTATACACATATGTTTATACTTGTTTTGTAGGTGGCAGAGAGGGCTCTGTTCTTATGGAACAATGATCACATCGAGAACCTAATAAAACAGAATCGGAAAGTCATACTGCCGATTATCTTCCCTTCTTTGGAGAAGAACGCCAGAAACCATTGGAATCAGGCAGTGCAGAGCTTGACTCTAAACGTCCAGAAGATTTTCTCGGACACTGATCCCGAGCTCTTTGAGGAATGCTTGCATAAGTTTGAGGAAGACGAAGCACGAGAAAATGAGGTCAAATCAAAACGCGAAGCAACATGGAAACGGCTAGAAGGGATTGCTGCAATGAAAGCTGCGAGTAATGAACCTGTGCTCATCTCCCCGAAAACAACCAACCGCAAGCTGTCCGGTTAGTAAAACGAGTTTGGCCACTTTAGTAGCAGATGTTCAATGTCGAGCTTGGTGGTTTGCAGACCATATCAGTTGGTGGAGATTTTTGCTGTTCCGAACTGTTTCGTGTTCACCCGGGGGATATATGGCTTGCTAGATTTTGATGTCACATGGGGATTCATCAAAGATTGATGCTATGTGGGGTAAATGCAAGGCCCTCTTGCTCATAAAATGCATATAATATGTAATGGATTGGGGGACGAAGGAGCAAAATGAGTTTGATTTGGCTTGTAAAGTTGACTTCTTTTTCATTCATAAATCTTCAAAGCTGAATTCCAAATCAGCTGAGTTAAACAACATACAAATCCTATTACCCATACAAACAAATAACGTTGCAATATAGGATAAGTTAAACAACATGCCATCAAATCATATTTAAGTATCTTTTATCATTAAACTTTAAGTTAATTGCATCAAACTTTCTCAAACTATGATTCTTTTTTTAAATTGGTTCCTAAACTTCTAAATGTTTCAATTTTATCCCTAAACTATGATTATCATTTTAAATTAGTCCTCAAACTTTTCAACATTTTAGTTTCATCCTTCATTCTAAATTGGTCCCTAAACTTTTTCAACATTTTAATTTCATCTCAAACTATATGTATATAATAACCAATTCCCTGTTAATAAAACCTTTAGGCCAAGCTATATATTATTATACGCTTGAGAAAATAAAGTTTAGATTATATATATAATATTTAATTATAGAGAATGTATTAGATGTGTTTTAGTGGTTCAAATAATTCTAAACTTGCTAATTGACTCTGGTTCAAAACCTTTATGATCATTTTTACTTCTTTTTTATTATGTCATTAACGTGTTATATGATACATATACAAGTTATTACGTTATATAAAATTAAGTTAGCACTTGTCTCAGTGATAAAAACATTGGAGCTCTCCCTCATGCGCTCAAATTTAGCTCCGTGGACCCAAATTCTCTTTAATTTGTTTTTTAAACCAGGTAATAACACATACCATCACATGATTGGAAGGTTGCTTTTTTTTTTTTTTAACTAAGTTAAAATTAAGACCAAATTAATAGGATGTGTAAGTATTAAATACTAAATGTGTAATTATATCTATTTTTTAACAATCATGGTATCTCCTCCGTTAAATATTAACGAATGGTGACTTGATTGATAATATCTAAATAATTAAGTAATTTGATTGATAAAATTAAAAGATCAATAGATATAAACATTAAGAAAACAAAAGGAAGAGCTTAATAAACATCGCAAACCTATGAAATTATCCACCCAAAGGGAGGGCCCTCCCTTCCCTTGTGTTTTCTTTCTTTCATTTGCAGTTACAGCTTGATTTGCAATTGAAATTTGGTTTTATCAGATTTCAACCAAATTTCCCCAGATTTTATGAGCCCTAATCACCCAATTCACATTCCCAATATCACCCCTTAATCAACCCCGTTTCAAAGTCTCAAACTTTCCCCTCCAAATTCATGGATTTATCTCAACCTTTAAAAAAGGGAAGAAAAAAAGGCAATAATTTGAAAGAAGAAAAAGGAAGGGAACGATTTCATCTTATTTTTTGTTGAATTTTTATGAATAGTTTAATATTTCTAAAAGAAATTAATAATTTCTTTTTTTTTCTCTTAAAGATTAGATAAGTCCTTCAACTTTCAATTAAAATAAATTATGTTCACTAGTTCAACCAAAAAACTAATTAAAGCCGGCTAAAAAAATCAATTCAATATCTCTACTACGCCATCATTCACACACAAAGTACTGCTACATCATGATATTGAACCACCGCGTTAGTATTATTAACTGTTATCTCAATATTATAACGATCCATGTTGCCTAAATAACATAGTTGATAAAATTGAATATCTTCAAGGATAAAATTGTTGATTTAGGTTTATTTCATAAATAAAACATATGCTTAAGTCATTGATATTTCATTAATCCAACCGTTGAATTTAACAATGTTATTGCATTTATTAAGCATGCAAAATTTTTAGTCAATTTTATATCTTTATGTAAATCCAAATGAACGTATTTATTAATATATATTTAACGGTATAAATTTTCACATAAAATGAAAAAATTGAAATTTTAATTTAATCAAAACTCGATATGCATAATTTCCGTAAATATAATATGAAATTCAACAGTTAGGTAATTGATTACCACAAATTTGGTTGGATTTTGCAGTTTAAAACCAAAGGATGAAAACAAAAATAGAAGGTTCTAACCAACACCATTGTTAACTACTAAAAGGTTTCAGGCTCTTATGGTTATGTATGTATGTATGTATGTATGTATGTATGTATGTATATATGTATGTATGTATGTATGTATGTATGTATGTATGTATGTATGTATGTATGTATGTATGTATGTATGTATGTATGTATGTATGTATGTATGTATGTATGTATGTATGTATGTATGTATGTATGTATGTATGTATGTATGTATGTATGTATGTATGTATGTATGTATGTATGTATGTATGTATGTATGTATGTATGTATGTATGTATGTATGTATGTATGTATGTATGTATGCATGCATGTGTGCATTAAGAAACAAGACATATTGCTTTCATCTCTAGCTTTCTTCAATGGGTTGCAGTGTTTCAAAGAATGGGTTTGCAGAGGAGGAAAGGGGCAGTAAATGTCATCATTTCAGAATCATTCATTGGAAGAAAGATAGAAATGACCATCCAGCTCAGTTGGTAGAGCACAAGGTTCTAAACCTTGAGGTCGTGGGATCAAGTCCCACGGGGGGCATTTCATAATTTGGAGGTCTCCTACGGAAGCTGCTCTCAACCTGGTGTTGAGGGCAGCCTACTATCTTACCTCCCCCTTACCCCATACATATGGGAAAAAAGGGACAGCCATTTTTTATTTTTTTCATTGGAAGAAAGATAGAGCAGCTGTGGATGGTTCATGGGAGCAGTTGCATGAAGGAGAAAAGCATGCAAAAGCTGATAATAGTAAACAACATGTGCATATGAAATTGAAGATCAACTCAGAGGGAAAAGGAGAGGTTGAGAAGGAGAAAGTGATGACAATGGAAAAGGAGAAGAGTGATAGATATGAATATGGACATGAGATGACTGATAGCATCGAATTCCCTCGATCCCCAAGTTTCAACGTCTTTTGCTCTCAACACACCTTAGGTTGTTGATTTTATGGTGTAAGAATGAAATTACACAGTCTAAGCATACTCTAATGGTGTAATTTGAGTTTTAACCTTTCAAATTAAATAAAATATCATCAATTGAACAACAGTTCAAAAAAAGGTTGGTTTTGATCACTTATGTTTTCGATTTAATATATTTTAATCATCGACCGTTAACTCTCGCTCAATAACGGAAATCTGACTTAACCTTGAGGTCGTGGGATCGAGTTCTACGGAGGGCATTTCATAATTCGGAGGTCTCTTACGGAAGCTGCTCTCAACCTGGTGTTGGGGGTAGCCTACTATCTTACCTCCCCCTTACCCCATACATATGGGAAAAAGGGACAGCCATTTTTTTTTGACTTAACATTTAAAGATCAAATACATACCACCTAAATGATCAAACGTTAGACTTAAAAAATTGTTGGGGTTACTCTTTCTACGACACTAAAAGCATTGTCACTGTCTACTTGGAGAGCTTGAAAATCTCGACATAACCGAAGAAGATGCAGAGCTTTTTGAAGACCCATTTTGGATAATAATTAACATTATTTAAAATTTATATTTATATAATGCTTAATAATTTGTATTATCAAACATGACAAGAATTAAATATAATTATGTCCAAGTAAAAATTCAATAAAATTGAAAATTTAGTTGCTATCAATCTAAATATATTATTGTTTGGGTTCACAACAAACACTTGTGGGTGAAACAAAGTGGCTTACATGGGATCAACCAATAACTAAAAACAAATCAAGAGTTAGTACAACACTGAATTAACTTGATGAAATCTTCGAGATTATGAAACCAACTACAAGCTTAGTTGCATTGGAAGTGCAACAATGAAGAATTTTTTTTTCAAAGGAATTGTTTTCACGAGTATAATTAAATTGCAGTCGCAACACAAATCATAACGGCTTTGATAAGGACACTGCAATCGCAATCGCAACCGCAATTTAGTACTAAAGTCGGCCTCTATTAATGGCTCTAGATGCCATAGCTCTCAAATTTGCTCTAGCTAAAGAAAGATTTTGGCCACTGCTTCCCCTAAAAGCTTCCATAAATTCTTCTCTTTGCATCCTTAAAGCTAATGCTGCGTCTCCGTCTTGGCCCGGTGTCCCTCTTCTTCTTCTCCCGGCGGCGCTTACTAGCCGCGAAAGATCATTCTCTCGTTGCTGCCTTACAGGGGTCCCCCTTCTAGTGTTTACTAGCCGCTCAAGATCCTCTCTCTGTAGCCTTGCAGCCAATGCAGGATCTTGAACTCGAGTTCGAGTTCGAGTTCGTGTCCTTCGGGTGCCGCTACCAGTTCCGCTTTCCGGACTTCGACAATCAACTTCCTTGCTATTCAAGGCACTAGCAGCCGCCTTCCTTGCTTCAACCTCTTTGGGAAACAGAAGCTGAATTGTATTCCAAAGAACTGTATTCACAGTGCAAGATCTTCCATTGCTGAGAAAAGAAAAGCTCATTAAGATTACAATGATGTTAAATTGATCTTCCATTGGTGGGGCTTCGAGCTCAGTTTTTACCTTATCAGCTGCCGGCACTTAGGGCACCGTTTCCCGCATTTATCCGCGGCCGATCTCAAACATTTCTTACAGAAACTACAATCAAAAGAGAAAAGGGTTTCACTGAAATGACAAAATCAGTCAAAAGATAAACAGATTTTGCCGGGTTTCGTTGAATTAAACATTGGTTTTCTGTTTTACCTATGCCCACAAGGAGTTGTGCTCGGTTCAAAGCAGATATCCAAACAAATCTATGAAGGCAATCAAAAAACATAGTTATTACTAGAAGATTAAAGAAAGCTAATCGAACATATACAAAAATCAAAATTCGAAAGACTCTTACTGCACATGAAAGCTCTTCTCTGAGTTTATCCTTACAATGAAGAGGAGCTGGTTCATCCACTTTCGTTTTCTTCTCATCCTCCACAACAACTTTTTCTTCATCACCTTGTTTTGAAATCTGTTTTTCTTCTTCATCAAGATTTAATGGAGCAATCAGAGTTGAAACATGGCTCCTTCTTTGAGCCCTTTGTTTTCTGGGGAAAAATTGAACAACTATATGAATCGAGAATCAGATAAATAAAGGGAGAACGAA